AACGTAGAGTATTTCGCAAGTCGAAGAGTGCAACTGTGTTAGTTTTTGCGAGAATGCATTATACTGCCTTGGCTCTTTTATTAGCTTTTCCTGCTACGTAGGCGGTGCCATTTGGGACTCGCCACTGCAACGCCCTCTTTCATCATCCATCCCCCTCCTTCTCCCTACTCATCACCTGTTCGGTTGAGCAAAAGTTTTGTGGCATAGCGAACGATATAAATCAAATGATTGACAAAAAGTGCAAAGTGGTTGGCTGAAATGACATCAGAGGCAAATGGTCTGCCTGGCCCAGAAGGGTCTTTTTGGGTGCCGTGGGCTTCTTCTTCTTCTGAGCATATAGACAATGTGGCCGGCTAGCTAGAAGTTGGAATTAAGTAATATAATTAGGTATATAATCAATTTGCGAACTTATTAACTTATTAAAATAATGTCCATTTTTGTTGTAGGTAATTCAAATATTCCATATGCCATACTCCATTATCCATGTTCATTTGCAAATGTGAGGAAAAGCAACGAGCCGGGCGAAAAATAATATTTCAAAAATAAATGTACGGTAAGAGGCAGCCACTCTGTATAAGGAGGAAAACGCGCAAAAAGGATGAAAAGAAATCCAATATCGAAATGCTTTTAAACCAATTAAGGTGAGTAATGGCCTATAATGTTCAATTGGCCGATGGAGCGTGTAACAAAGCTCTTCGCAGAGTTGACAATTCGGTTTTTTTTGTCGGTTATAAATGATTTTATTTTGAAATGAATTCTTCAAAAGTGAAATCATTTTCTTTACATTTTGTGTGATTTTTATGTTGGCTCTTTCTTGAATTACCCACGGTAATAATATTTAAATTTGACGACAAGTTCGACAAAGTCGACAGATGTTGACAGAATCATAATTGACATGTTTCTGATTATTGGCCGTCTAATTTCAGCTAATCAACGATTAACCAACTTGAATTAACTAATTAAGCAATACAATGCATAAAAATTTATACATTTAAAAGTTATAATAGGGCACAGAAAAATGCAACAATATTTTTCGTATTACTTGGGGGAAAATGAACGCTTCTTAATCTAATGACCGTAAATTAAAATACAAATTAAAGGCGACTTTAAGTATATCAAATTAAGGATAGAACATGGAAGTTTTTACCTAATCAGTGTGGATATTTCCTTATTTATTTTACGCATATATAGTATATATATATATATATATATATATATATATATATATATCGAATCCATTGTTATCCATGTGAAGCAACCAGTTTGTCTGTCTGATCTGTGTCAAGCTGTTCACTGACGCGTCGCTGTCTAATAGAAACGGGCAGCTTTGCCCATGAGCAGAACGACGGAGCGTCAACGTAATGGGTGTTGGCCTTGCGGCGCCACCAATTCCATACGCCAATCGAGAGCAGCGTGCCACAGACGCCGTTGCCAAAGCGCAGTCAGAGCAATTGGGAGAGTGGAGCAATTTGAAGGTCGCACCAATGCACGAGAAAATTCTGGAGGATTCACGAAAAGAAAAGACTGAGAAGGTGCAGCTTCTTGGTCACGCTAAGGAGAAGCTGTCCAAAGAGAAACCCCTCAAACAACAGTCAAGACTTGCAGAAAGATTGCGCCGTTCATTCCGCCGCAGTGCACACAGCTCCCTGGAGCTGAAGTCCACGTCGGACGATTATCAAAGCAAGAGCTGCGCCTCGCCATCGCTGTCTAAGCTGGACAACAATAACCACGGCGGCCGCATACCCTTCTCAGTTGCCAGCCAACTGCATCTGCCCGGCCTGGCACTTGGCGGTCACATCAACGCGGCCCTGCTGCTGGACAGTCCCGACGAGTGCACGCCGCCCGAGTACGCCTACCAGCACTTGAGCAGTGTGGCCACCACCAATACCAACTCGAGCAGCTCACTCGAGAGCAACTTCGAGCTGAGCGAACTTAGGAGCTCACAGACGAACCTACACTGGGCCGGCAGTCAACAGATCTTTGAAATGGGCAGCGAGATGAGCACCGCCGCCACCAGAAGTGCGACGCCAGAGCAGAGTGTCAAACGGAAGGATCAGCTGACTAGCAGCAGTCGCAATGATCAGCCGCCGGCTGGTCCGCCCAATGCCAGTCGCAGTTGCAGCATCACCAGCGAGAGCAGCTCGGTGAGGATAACGCGACTGCAGAACTTTCTATTCAGGAGCAGCAACGAGAGCTCGCGCAGCTGTCAGGGTCATTCGAACGATGGGTTTACCGCTTCGTCGTTTAACTCATCGTCCGGGGAATGGGAGCAGCTGGGCGCCCATGTGCTGTCCAGTAGCAGCGGCGTTGGCGGCCTACATGATCTTAACACGGGCTCGTTTCCCGAGGAGGACACACCGGACGAAGCTGATGGCGATACCACATTGCCGATTGAAAGTGGCGAAGCTGGCGCCTATTATCAGTATACGCTGACATCTCCGAACAATCCCTTTCTGCCGGAAATCACCGCACGCACCTATCACAGCACCTACGAGGACGACGAATTGCCGATTGAGGGACAAATTCAGCCAGAGGAGCTGCAGCTGGATTGTAATGTAACATCTGTTAAGTACACCGGCTGGGGCACCGGTTCCCGATCCGCACAGCTGCCGACACCCGCCTACAGCCGTGCCGGCTCCCAGGAGTCCACGTTTAGCGAAAGCGGTGTTAGCTGTCCGCAGGGACCAACGCCCAGCCCAGCGTCGAGTTCCTCATCCACGCCCGGCCGCCACAGACGCAAGCTCTTCAGCCTCAACTCTCCCACGCGTCTGCTGCATCATCAGCAGAGCGGCACAAGTGCCAGCCAGCAGCATATACATAATCAGGCACAGAAAATCGTCTCGCCAACAGAGAGTCTCAATGCGAACGTCCCGGTGCGTAATCCCCTGAATCCCTTTCTACCGGCGACCTCGGCGCCCATTGCAGTGCCGGGCGACTTGAGGAGCAAACGTGAGGAATTTCTACGTGCAACAATGAAAATCTGTCTGGTTGTGTCGCCTCCAGCCAGCAAACTGCAGGTGAGTTCATGTTCTTAGACCGAGCGCGGCACCTCAACAGAGCGGAACTTTGCCAGCCGGAAATCAACTTGTAACCAGCGAATAAAGACTTTTCAATTTGTTTTTTTGTTTTATTTATTTGTTTTCTTTCTTTATTGTCGTTCACAAGAGTTGTCAATTGGCTGTTGTCATCACTTTCTCATTTATTGTTATTGTTAGAGAGCATTATAATTTTCCAACAGATGTGCAGAAGATATATGATACACATATCTATATGATATATCGTCTGATCTGATACGTAATCGGATAAACTATACCATACATGCATATACATATATGATATATCTGTCTGTCTTGCACTATGCAAACTCCATTTGATCGAATCCATAATCGGATCAACTATAATTTATATCTTTAGCAAGTCTACAGTCTAGCAGAGGTCTTTGTTATTAGAATATGAGCACAATCCAGTCCAAATCGAACTACTATATCATATAGCTGCAATTTATATAGGAAATAATGGCAATGATATCTCGCCAATTACGAGCTTTAGTTTGCACGTAATAATTTTGATTCCCGGTAATTCAGACATGTGACGCAAATGCTATGATAAATCTGTCCGTAGGGGTATTTTATTAATTCCCTTAATTCGAAGAACTCTGCTCCCACCTGTCACAAGAATTAGAAACGGTTGCTGTCATCACAAGCTGTCATAACTTTCTCATTTATTTGTTTTATTTTGGTTCATTTGATTTGCAGCCCACAACTCCTGCGTAGCCTTTTCGCTTATTGCGCTTCCATTTGCTGGCTTGCTTATTGCAAAACTTTATTCCGAGTGTATAAACCATGCATTTATATTTGGTTAACTGAGCATTGTATCTGTAACTAGCCAAGCGCAACAAAATATTATTTTATTGATTGGACAAGTTTGAGCGGCTCATTCGGGCGCATTCTGATTGAATTGCAAGATATTTCATAGTTTATTTATTTTAAAATTAAAAATTCAGTTTGATAAACTTTTTATTGTTTTATAGCCTTGTAGAGGGTATTATAACTTTGTCATGTAGTATGTAACGCATAGAAGGAGACATCTCCGATCCCACGAAGTATACTTATATATTTTTGATCAACATCAACAGTCGAGTTAATATACTCAGATCCGTTCTATGCAAGCTAGTCTGTCAGTTATAAGGTATAAATATGATTCCTGTATGAAAACCTTTGTTGTTTATCAACATATCCGGACGAAACATATATGTATGCAAGGTCCTATCAACATCGGACCACTATGTCATATAGGAACGATTGCTCGAAAAGTAGGTTCTTGTATGGACAATATATCTTGACCAAACCCGGCGTTTACTATATAAAATATGCTGGTAACTTATGAATCAAGACTAATCAAGATCGCACTTTTATGTTATATAGCTATATAGGAATAATCGGTCGAAAAAGAGTTTTAGTATGGCAAAATATTCTATTTTCCAAGGTATTTTCAACACTCTCAGGATTTATGAGCTTTGCTCTTCGCTCATATCTGCAGAGCCGTAAGCCAAAAGTCTATAAGGGCATTAAATCTTCGGTATGCCGAAGAAACCTTATCCTTCATGTTAACAATTGTTTTGTGTCATTGGGTTTTGATGCTGTCCGTGATTGCCGGGGAAATTCGAACTTGAATGAACAGCAAATTAAAGAGCGAGTATATGGCGCATAAGAATTTCAATTTAAATGTAAATGTACATATAGCGCACGTGATATAATTATTTTTGGTTACTTTTTGGTTTAATGCCAACGTGATGTAAAATCGATGTAAAAAGTGCTTTTCCAATTGTGGTTGAAACTATGCATGCATTGGGAAACAGGATTTAGGCTGGCAGTTTCCCAGCCACGCCAATTAAATTCGATTATAAATATCGGATATTGGGTCGACGCTTTGTGGATTTATGTCATTCACACACATACACATGAACACACACCCACACTTTTTCATTTATTTCATTTCAG